TCATACGAATCATTAATAAAACATAAAAGTAGAAGAATACGTAGCATAAGTATCCTTAAATTGCATCCTAATTGAGGTACTGTTCATTATTATACATGTAGAGAAAAATTTTACGTAATGTATTAATTTTGAAGATGCAAGTTAAAGAAAATGTAAAAGTATTTTTGAGTTTGAATTCAGGTTAAAAATTTGGAAACGTAGAAAATGTGACGTATTCTACTCAATAAATCTCTGCTTAAAATTGAAAATTGTGTTAATGCATATAAACGTGCGTTTGTAATGGGTAAAGAGACACGGGTGTTGAGCGTGATTGCAATAAAATTCACGAGATTGCGAGGAGGGATCTCGAGAGTACGTGCTCGAGGTTGCTATGCCGCGGTCGCCGCACTGCGTTGTTACGTTTACATTTGATATTAATCTCGCTGATGTTTGCCGAATCGGTCGCGCAATTCGTTGCATTACTTTAATTAATTATTTTAATGGATCTCGGCGTTAATGAGATCTATTCGCATCTCTTTCTCGCGCGCACACGTATTGTCGATATTGCAATTAATTTTTAGTGGATTTTAAGAGTATTGAACGCGTTATTGAAATTAGGTTATATATTTTTAAACTACGTTGATGTTGGAGTTAATCAATACAGAATTTTCTCTAAATTCTCGTATTATACTGTCTGAAAATAATTTTGTGCGGGATGTAATAAATGGAAGTATAATATGCACAAAATCAGAATTAAATTTTATTCAATTAAATGTACGTTCTGAATGTATAAATTGTTATAAAAATACAATTCCTCGCTTTACTGAATAATGCTACCCTCAATATTCGACCTTCCTTACAATAAGCTTCACACCTTTATCGATGGAGCGCCTATCGATTCCTTCATGCATTCTACCCTCGGAGACACTCCTAACTAAATTGCTCGCAACGTACGCATAGGACAAAAAGAAAGACAAAAAGAGCAAAAAACGATGAGTGTGCAGTTTCACGCGAGTCACCATCTCTATAAACTAGAAAGTGAATCTTTCCCTGCCGTTGGGGGAGAAGCCCCTTGAAAATCAAATGTATAGCACGACGAGTTCTCGTATCCATTACCTCCTTCAGCCCCCTAGGCCGTATCTGCAAACACGTGGCCTCTCTTCTCGATGATACACACCCCTCGCGCTCTCTTTCTCTCTCTCCCTCTCTCGTTTTCCTTTTAGACGAATTCTCCTGGTTGAATCCCCGAGGCAATCGCATTAAATCGGACGAGGGGTCGAGTCATGTTTTCTTAATTCCATAGTGACGCCGCGTAAGCCGTAGGCCATGTGCACTTTCCAGTGATCGAAGTCGATTCGAGGCTGAGTTCAAATAAATTTTTAATTCCGTTCTTTATACACACACACACACACACACACACACACACACACACACACACATACATGTAGCGTACGTCTTATTCGCGGTATCGGTTTTATGATTATAGAATCGATCGACTATCGTGGATCATCAGCCGCGTTCGCACAAGCTCGACTATAGTTTTTTTCTTTTCTCGTTTCTATAGTATTTTTCTCGAAAGAGCTTCTGGAAGTTGCAATCTTCGCCTCGTACCTTAGATTTTTTTAGGTGGCATTTGCACAGAAACGCTTAATATGCATATGAGGGATTAAAAGCCATAAAATCATTTATACTTGCTTTATTGAACTACGAAAGAAAACGTAAAATAAGTCTTAACTCATCTCCCTTGCAAACTAGTAACGGCACAATGTTGACTTATTAACAGAGTTGTACCATTTCTGTAATCTTTCCATTAAGAAAAGTGGCTTACATCGTTACGACTTTTACCTCTTTATATAATGCTACTCTAGTTTTGCAAGGAATGCAGGAAACGTAACTTTCCGTATGTTCCCACGTTATAAAAGCGTTAATTGTCACAATAATTTTTTATATCGAATGGAAAGAAACTCAATAATCGACATCATTCCAGATATTAGCTTAGAAATAAAAGAGTGTACGTTGATAAATTATTTTCAATGCCTGGCGCGCATTGAATAGAGCCATTTCACTTAAACTCAAAACTGTTCAAACCAATCCTTGATATTCGAGAGAGAAAGAGAGAAGAACGATAAAGCGTGAATTGCACAGCTCGTAAAGATTTAAAAGCCCTAGCATACGTCGTCGTGCGGTGAAAAGCCCGGGGCGACTTAACTGAGCCTTTACACTCTGCGTCCCGGAAACAGGGTAGTATCTTGGAAACGAGGCCGAAGTTCATTATCCGGGACGTCAGGGCTAGCAAGCGATCCTTGCCGCGGCCAGCTTGACTGTAATTAATAATCGTCGCGCGACGAAGTTGGTTTGCTGGTTGGCTGGTTGGCTGACTGTCGGCTGTACACGGGGGTTAAATTCCAGGGTTGAAGGGTGGAAGTAGATGGCGGTCGAGAGTCGCGTCAGTCGAGAGGGAGAGGGTAGCGGTAGTAGGTTAAGGGTAAGCGGTCAGAAGGGGGTGAGAGGAGGATGAGTCTGATGAGGCTGCTGATACAATCACAGTGGAGCTGGCTCGGCTCGGTATAGCAACGAGAAACCATAAGCGTAAAAGCATAGGGGTAGGGATACCGGTAGCCTATTACCAACCCTTGCCAACATCCGACGAGCCGACATTAACCCTCACGTACAACTTTGCGTTAACCGTGTGTATGTTCGACACGCGATCCCGTGTTACATCCATTCAACGCCTTGAATGAGCAAGTTCAAATAAAAACTTGAAATTCTTAGACTTTTGTTCAACAATACGTTTCCTCGTTTTTTAACTTCTTCCACTCTTCTGTGTTTATATAGGTACAATGTATGTAAAGAATATATATGTTATTTATATCGAAAATGAAATTAGCTTTCTGTGTGAGAAACAACTTTTAAATAGCAACGCAATCTGTGGTGTAATTAAAGAATTTCGGAGATGGATGTTTCCCTAACTGGTTTGCATTCCAATTTTTGCCGGCAAGTGCAGGAGGAAATAAAAATGAAAAAAAAAAGAGAAAAAAGCAACAGATGTAGGGGAATTTTCGTTTTGTCGTTGGAAAGCTCATAACGTGACAGCGGCGGTGAAACCGCGGTGTAACCGACGGACACGATCAAAGGACGGACGGGAATGACGACGAGGTCGACGACAACAACAACGAGCAGGACAACGAGGACGACGACGAGTCAGGATGGATCGCCGACAGGGGATGATCGCGATTCACTCGGTTGACGTGCATGTCGATGGTGGGCGTGTCGGCCATGGGATGGCAACGTGTCAATTTCGAGGAAACAGGTGCTCGACGCCTCTGTGACAGCATGTTCGAGTTCTGCGCGGGGTGATCCAGCTAAACGGGGCTCTCGCCCGCCACTGTGTAACCGTGTATGTATATCGACCGTATATGTCGGTCTAGCGCGTATGTACGCGTAAGTCCGCCGGGATCCCGTTGGAAGGGTGTAACACGGAATCGCGTGTTGAACATACACACGGTTAACGCCGTCGAGCCCGATGCGATGCGGGGCTTGGGGTTAGTGCTAATTCCGAATGAGTTTACTCCGTCTGATATAAAGTGGCAAAAATCATGACAAATTGTTTATCAAGGGTCTCGTGCTATTCAAAGGGTGAATTAATTCTTTGCATGATATTTTTATGGGAACTTTGGTTAAATAACTTCGATAATAGTATGTATCTTAAGCATCGTCAGCAACCCGCGTACGTATAATGTCTTCCTCTCTCTTTCGTTCTCCCTCTTTCTGTTAGTTCGTTTACTGTTCTGCGTGCTCGGCAAGCGAAACCGAGAGGATTTCACAGATGGCTGGAAAGAGATAGGAATCGTTAACGACACCGCGATACAGCGATAAGTTCCCGAGACTATGCAAATGATCGTAATTACAAGCGGCGACTGGCCGCGGCCGGTCGGTTATCGTTTTAACGTTTAATTGTTCGATGCTGCGTAACAAACAAATGCGTGTACAGAACGGAGCGCGCCGCGTTACGCCGTGCCGGTGGCTGCCAGCCCCGGTAATTATCGCGATCCGAGATCCTGTTTATCGCGGAGCTTCTTCGAAAATGAATTCCCGGATGAGGCGCGCGCGCAGCCATTAATTTAACGCGGGATTCCGTCGTACGCGCACGTAATTATGTAAATGTGCGGAGAGACGGAACCGTGGTCGCACGATTGTTTCGTTCGAGATCAGGTGAATAAATAAGCCGACGAAAGCATTCAATTTATCGTAGCCGCGGCCAAACGATTTGTTTCACGCTCGTTTAATACATTTTCAGTGTAAATAACGACCGATCGAGTAATTTAATTTTGCGAGATGGTATCCGATGCATCAACGAACTCGTCAAAGCGGGCGACCGACGCGACGTCCGGAGCCGATGTTCCGACGTGACAATCCGGCCGGGCACGTTCTCCTTGTCATGAAAAGCGATAGAAAAGTTGGAAAAATGGCCGAGTCTCGGTCGGTTTGCTCGGTTTAACGATCGTGTTGAGGTCAGTCGATAAAAATAAAGCGTGCCGCCCGGCGCTCTCTAAAATTAACGACGTGTGGACGTGGAATATGCCAATGGTGCTATGAAACTTTTATAGAGGAGTAAACCTGTATATTCAAGTCAAGGCATCGAGGATAGCCATGCGACGTGAAAGGACACGGAGCGAAGTGCTTCGGGGGAATGGGGAATCGCAAAACCAACGAGCATTACGAGACTTCTCTTTCCGATGTCTTTTTCTTACTCTGTTTCCGTCGCGATATCTCGAGAATTGATGCGACCCTTGGAAACCGGGGGGGATTGCCTTATCGATCTCGTATACGAACTGTGTTGTTAATGAAACTGTGTTAAAAAAACTCACGCTAATCTTGTAAGAATTGCGAGGTTCGTGATAAGAGAGCATCGCGAGCAATTTCACGCAATATTTATTACAGAATAAATATATATTGTTTTACTCACGTAAATTTAATACAGATTGATTGTAGACTTTGGTATAATAGATTAAGAGGCAAGGTTGTATAAATTCGAATATTTTTTATTTACTCTATAGTCACTGTCGTCGGTAAATGTCGAGGTTCTAGATATTTCGTTTGCGCAATCAAACGGTTTGTCATCGTTGCAGATCACAATCAGGTGGAGACAAACGAAGGGGTAGATTCAACAGGGGCTAGATTATTTGCGCTTACTCTCCCCTTGCAGAAGCTGAACAGATGTATGCTGTTACAATCGCATGCAATCATACAAATTTTCTGCATGGTTTACCTTAGCTAGAGATTAGCGGAAACGTTAATGAAAAGTTGAATATATAACATTTAAGAGTACTTATGCGATTATGGATGAATACAGATGATTCAGGTTCGTTTGAGTATTATTAAAAAATTTTAAGTACGTTCTCAAGGCGGAGGAAGACGCTTCAAATAATCTGACATATACGACGGTAGACTACTTGCTCGTAAATTTCTCCATTCAAAGATCTTTGATGAACGAAATATGAATTTTCCACGACGTCGAATGTTATACTGGTCGTTAATATCACCGCTGCTATTGGTGGAATTGAGAATCGTGACTGTAAAACGACTATAAATGTGTCCATCGATGCCGTCCAAGAATGTATTTATTTACGTTTATATGGGAATAATGTACTTGTACATGCATCTTCGTTTTGATTGCTTTTTTGAGCACCTTATCATCCTTTTATCCATGATGTGATCACCCCACCATTTCTGATTATTCTATTTTGTCATATTTCAACGGTCACTCTATTGGAATGAAAACATAAGTTCACAAATGTGTTCCTCTTTTTTTTACTTTGGCTGGGACACTTTTTGAATAAGTTTGACAGATTGTACTCCTTCAATCAAAGCTACAAATGGAAACTGGGACACTCGTGACACGATAAATTAACCCAGCAAAGCATAATCAATGTTGTCGGTGGCTTTGCTTTAATCGTTGATACACGGTTATCCGTCCCTCTGTCCAGCCTTTTACATCTGTCTTCGTCCCTTGTCTCAGTAGCTGTATTGCCGTTTGTCGTTCGTTCCCCCTGATCGATGATTCGTCTCCCTAACACTTCTGATTTTGTCATTCTCTCTCTTACGCACCATGCTGCGACGGGTTCGTTTTATTTTTGTCACTCGAATGGCTTACGCAGAACAAATTTGCATGACAGACACATACGCGAGGAGTACGCGAATCGAACGCGTCGCCACTGATTGGGAATTAACATAACTGCAACAATTATTGGCAAATTGGTATAACTCGTTTGCGGTCCGAGCAACGTATGCGGATGATGTACAGCTTGACTACGCGTGATCTACAACGCGTTTCGGCCGTAATGTAAATTACAATCAACGATGCAGTGTTGATCATGTTGTGTCCTGTTCTCTAAGAACATCTATGAACACGAAAACAAAGGTAATACAGGTTTTCATTTACTTATGTCTATTAATATCGATAGTACGTGAACGAAAATTCGGTTTCTGTAAATCCATACTTTTATAATTTAACGGGTAATATTTACAATTTACTTTACCGCACATTTCATTAAAGTTTCCTTCACTCTCAAATGACGATAGAAAAAGAGTACTTGATACACTCAGAATCAGGATTAGAAAACTCGCGCATCATGCAAAGCGGAAATGGAACATCATTCACTTGCAGTCACCCGTGAAGTGTTATCGATGGAGATTCTAACAATCGTGGCTTGCAGCATACAGGGATGGCACGAGTGGCCTAAAAGATGAAGATAAGATATTGTAGAAAAGAACTGTTAGATGGGGTCGGAATAGCGTTCCTTCCCATTGCGGATTATCATCGCGAATAGTCGCACGGGCGACGGACGTGAGAGATTATTCTGCTCTCTCGAGTCTAATCCCTTAGGTCGAGGGTGGCAAACGATTCTTGATATCGGTGTAACGAAGTGAAATAAATCGCGATTATAGCTAAGCAATAAAAATTCTTCGGTCAAGCATCGTTCGCAAACGGTCTATGATTTATCGAGAATGCAAGATTAGATACGTATCGTCACTCAATATTACGCCAAAGACGTCCGTAAAATTATCAATAGTGAATTGTAGTAACAACTAGTAGAACGAGTATTAATTAAAAATTAAAAAAAAAAGTTTTAATAAAAAAATACTACGCATTCTAACTTTTCATAAATTTTTAACTTGAAATATGAAATACAAACGGTTTTAATTTAAACATATATAACTCATTTTTGCATCGATGACAATTTGATTTTTGATGTTGACTAAGTACGTTCGCTTTATGGGGATCGTAAGAACGTTGGGGTATAAGACGAAGAAGAGGATGAGGAACGATCGGGAAAAGAGGATCACAACGGAGATAGGGTGGTTCGAGAGTAGAGACGGCGTGAATAAAGGCGAGGCGTTCTGAAAACTTAATTACCTGTGTAGGCTCTATCAATTAATTTTCCTCGATTTTCCCGGCTTCTCCGACCCTCGGCCGATTCGCTAACGCAGTTACCGCCACCAACACGCTGCCCACCTCCTGCCAAGCCATGTAATTCCGACGGCATTATTCTCGGCACGTCTGCCGACGGTCGGAGCCACTCCCGCTTCTTTCTTCCCTATACCAACCACCACGCCGGTTTCTCTATCCTTCTCTCGACCCTTCTTTTTTCCTCGTTCTCTCGCCCCTATATTTTCCACCCCCCCGAAGGCGGGACCTTTGTTCCTCATTTACTTTTTATCACGAAGGCACCAGCAACCTCGGCCATTCCGCAATCCCCTCTCCCAACAGTTTGCTCACTCTTTCGCTCCTTTTCAAACTTCCCTTTGCGCTCGCTCCCTCTTTCTCCTTCCCTTCCGCTCGTTTCAGTCCTCTTTTTTTGTCTCTCTTCTCTCTTTAATCTCATACCACTTCGTCGCCGCTCACCCCCGGCGCACGGTGCGCCTTCTGATCTCGCCCTGACAAGTTTCACAGACACGCGCGCACATTCTCTCTTTGCCTTCTCCATCCCCGGCTTCGTTCTCCCAGCGAACCCGTTCTACCCTCGCGCGTGTAATCGCGTGAACGTCCGCAAGGTAACATGCTACGTGCGACCGCGAACATGCCATGACGTGCATCTTACCGCTCATAAGTATCAAAGCACTTTCATTCAGTTTTGCGATGCTGGAGAAAACGTACCGATTCTGATGATAGCTTTCAAGAACATCCTGGCGCACGTAATAGATTATATGTTTCATATAATCGTAGCGAAATAGAGAAATATATCTTTTTCGATTTTCGAGTGCATAGTCTCTTCATTTGATAATAAATTAATACGTTACATGTTAGAATCTATCATTATATTATAAAATTTACTGATGTCAATAGTGCATAAACATTCAATAGTTTAAGAGCATCGTATCGTGGACCTTGTATCATCAATTATTCCCAAAGATTGTACACGTCCCTCTGTCACTGGGTCTCACCATCATTTCGTACGGTTCTTTTTGCCAAGTTTCAGTCCAGTAACTCTTTATTTATCACATTTGGGGATGCTTTGGCGTTGCCAATATCACCACAGGTGCACTTTTTGCCGAGTCTAACCTTTATTCCACGGTGACATCTCTTGGGGATTTCAGAGATCGCCCTCTCCCACGGGAATATTACAAGATTGCTTTGCGTGCTATCCGACATTTTTCCCAATCGTTTCTTCTCACCGACCCTCTCTCTTTTCGTCCTCCTGGCGAGTGCTCTGGAAAAATAACAAGCGTATGGTCTCCCGTGTATTACGCTCGGGTGAATGGAATTGTTGACGTTACAAGCACGGTGCTGCATACATACATACATACTATATTGAAATCACGCTTATCGAAATTCCACGCGCGATGCTGAAAATTAGAGGAATGACTCCTCGCTCGTCGCGTCCTCTTTTTGTATTTTACGCCGCTCCGCTGATAGGGTTTGTTTGTACGTCTGGTTTCGCTTGCCCTACGCTTTTCTCTTTGCACCCGTAACGTTTTGAACCACGGCCTGCCATACCCGGCCTACCGGTTTGATTTAGATCAACGTTATTGTGTACGAAGCTTTTACAATGGTTGAAAGCGTCGAGCTTTTCGTTTTGTAATTTTAACAGATTTTTCCTTGACGTCGCTCAAACCCTCAGGGACGTTTCCTACATTTCCTAAGTAAATACCACGTTATTCTCTTTGTCAATTTACTTTCCTAAAAGTTTCTTCTGCTACGTAATTTTTTTATTATATTCGTTTCTTTATACGAAAAAATCATTGCGCAGATTAGATTAAGATCATCAGCAAAAGGGACTATAGTTTTTATATACCTATTGGATTAGCTAATATTTATTGTGAAGAGTCTAAATATATATTACGGACGCGGATACGTTCATAAATACGTAACGAGCGAGCTAATATTGATGCATTACTCGCATAACTCTCGACCAGGCTTAAAATCACGGCACCGATTATCGAAAAGTTAACAGCATTATTTCACCGGCCAGTATAAATTTTATTAATGCGCGCAGCGCGTGCAGGTGGACGTTGTTTTTTATCATTTTCACGTTACCGCGACGCTTGCATTTCTGTCGCAATAATTTCAGCCCCGCGTAAATACAGGCACGATTCATCGTCGGCGGAACGACGGTGTATAAAAAGAAAGAACGTCGTCTACGGTAAGCGTTTTACGCCACTTTCGTTACGTTTGCGATGTACGATGGGCAAGATAGTCTCCGCGAACTGCGAAAGTAATTAAACGAAGGTAGAAAGGAAACGCATCGATAACGGCCACGTATTCATTGGCTACTCGTTTGTTAATTGCCATGATCATATCAAAATAACTCCCAATTATGATTAATTGCATCATGTCACGGCAAGTTGTTTCAATAGCACACTTCATTTGCATTTTATAGAAGACAAGGTAATTAAACATCAGATCGATAAGATATTTAATTGAAATAAGAGTGGCTGTAAATTAATTAAACCCTACTTTCAACATATGATGTATTCTACCATTGTGTATTTTTCTACATCTATATGTGTAATACAAATGGTAAAAAAAATAGATGAGCTTAGTAGATTATCGAGATTCGTAACGTGGATTTTATTTTCCATTTTTCCCCACCGCGAGATCACCGATACTTCTATACATGTCGACCCTTCCGTGCTTTCTCCAAGGGGTGTATGGTCCCCTAAATATCGAATGATAATCGTTAATTCGATCAAAATTACCGTCAGTGGGTTACGGGTTCTGACATGTCGGAGGGGACTGAAATGGGTAGCGAGCCAGATTCGATACGGAGCGCAGTGGGAGTTCCGAGGAAGTTCGGTATGAAACCAAGCGTATCTGTCTGTAGTCCGCACGAGGGTACGTTCTTAACTTGTTTAGTTATTTAAGTGATTGTAATTAAATTTCGATTATAAATAAATTAATTAATTCAAATATTCTACTTTTGTTCGATACTGAATCAGTGGCATTTTTGTAGAGGTTTTAAAATTTTTAATACTTAGTTTCTCTCTGTTACTTATTTTTCGTCAATTTTTTATCACGTTACGACCTATTTTATTTCCATTAAAATCTGAAACGCGGATCGATTTGTTTCGGCGTTACGTGGAAATGCGTTCGTTCATTTAGTATTTAGTCCAAACGCCTCTTAAGATCATTAATACTCGGCTCGGTGTCATGGGGCGCGTCGATGGGTGTCGAGAGAAGTTGGGTGTTGGCGGCGACGATGCAGGTGAACCATCAACAACGGCGGTGGTGGTGCGGTCGGTGCCGTATTAAGCCGACCGTATTCCCCGTCTTGCTCGCTCGTAGCCTGCTGAAACTTTCAGTAATTACTGTAATTAGTCCAATTAACAGACTCGGTTGGGCGGACCCCTCTGGTTCTCTTTGACCCTATCTTTCCTCATATCTTCTCCACCTATTCCGCAACAGCGCACCGTGAACAACAACCGACGCTTCTGTGTTTACTCGACGATGTGACTTTCGAGCGTTTCCACGTCTTCGCATGAGTACAGTCTGTCCCACAAGAATATGTTGGCGCTGTCTCTACTAAATTTGATTTTAAAATGTTATGAGTTGTTCTCGATTCGATTGCGTCCGGTGATTACGTTAATTATTCATTTATGTATGAAAGTAACAAAACGTTTTTTAATATCATAATACACTGCATCTTAAATATTAAATGATT